TTCATTATATAATATGTATTACCACTATTGAATTTATGTACTCTTGATTATCAATAAGCACATGAATTTGTTTGGAATAAGTGTTTATTACTAAAGTGTAATCTAGAAATTGATTTGTCTCTCTCATTTCTCTTTGTTTATAGGCAACATCATGTATTATTTTGCCTATCTAACTAACTAATGTAACTTACTATTTATTTGTTTGCAACATCGTGTTTTATTTTGTCTATCATGTGGCAAAGGGATATTTCTTGTGTGGAGAGGTTTGATTAATAAAGTGGGTTTTGATCGAAAAATGGTGTGATTTTTTGCTCATATTCTTTAGTTTGTAATTCTAGTTACCATATTTTATTTGTTAATTCTAATTACCTATTTATCAAGGTGAGAAATGTTTGCACATTTTGAAATGTGATCCTTATCGACATTATTTGCATTGAACAGGCAAATACTTATTTTTCCAAAGGAGAATAAAGATGTTGCCTCCCAGATGGAGTAAATTTACCATGTTTAGCTTGACTAGTGTTAATCAAATCAATATTCAATACTCTACCAAAAAAGGTAATTTATTTGTCAAGTTTAGGGACTGAGCAATTTGAACAATTGTCATGGATTGCTTGATGTTTCAATTTCTTGAATTTCTTTTCTAAATTTAACATGCCGTTCGCTTTAGGTTATTAATAAAATGGTTTTTTTTTTGTGATTCTGCTTTTTTTATTTATTGATTTTTAGTTAATGCACTTATATTAGGTGTGTTTCAATTAGGGAGAACATCCACATTAGTCTATGCTTTGGAAGCCTAGCAGACTAGAGGAACATCCTTTTTGCCAATTAGCTATGCATATTCTGCTTTGGTAATTTAGTTATCAAATTAAAAGCATAGGTATCCATGTTAACATCTTATCATGTGTTTATGTATGTTGTATCATTAAATATGACTACATATTGGAATATATTTGAATGTGCGTGTCATTTATTTTGTTTGTTCTCTGTGAACTATATTTAATAGTTCATCAATCTAAAAGAAAATGAAAAAATATAGAATCTCCGAACGTATGTGTCGAAAATTATTTTGAATGATTAAAATAATAATTTAAATTATAAAATCTTAAATTAAATAATTATTTTATAATAAATTTATTAAAAAATATATTAATATTTTAATGTTTGGAATGTGATTCGGAATACGATTTTGGAACGTATATCATTGCTTAGAGAAAATATGTTTGATTGGAAAATATGGATTATTTACTTAAATTTTCCCTTGTATTTGTGTATGTGTGTGCTTTGTTTGTCTCTTTGCTTTTTTAATTTATCTTTGTCTCTGTTTATCTTTATTTGTCTATTTGTGTCTGTGTTTGTATTTGTGTCTCAGTTCGTGTCTTTATTTTTGCGTGTTTTTTAATCTCTAACTCCCTCTATGTGGATGTGTGTGATTTTATTTGTGTGTTTTGGTAAATACTTTAATGTTGTTTCATTTATTTTTATCTACTCTTTAAATAGCTCTAAGGATTTGTTTTTAATTTATTTTTTTGTACATTATAAGATCAAAGAGATCTAAATTCTAATAGGATATAAATCAAGTTTGTTTTGTTCAACAATTTGAATGATATTCCATTGTTTATTACAAAATAAAATTTGCAATTGTATATTGCATGTGTAAGTATACTTAGTTATGTTATTAATCACATATACAAATTTTCAATTTTGCAAACTTCAATATTGAGTTGTCTAGACCGGCCAAGGTTTGTATGTTAGAAACAATGCCTCGTCTTCCGTTAGATATCTTCCCTCTTTTTTTCCTTTTTTACTCTCTCTGCCATTCAGATTCACTGCTTTTCAATTTCTTATTGTTTTCTTTCTGATTGTTGTTATATTTCTTCCTGATTCTTGTTTATCTTTGCTACTCGCTAGGGTTTTTCTCTTTGTTCCTCGTTCCGGTGACTTTGTGCGGATGAAAGCTAGAAACCAAAGTGATGTTATGCGTTTCTTTGCTTTTCAGTTTCTTGCTGATTCTTGCTTGTCTTTATTACTCGCCAGGGTTTTTTTTAAAACCCTTTTTTCTAGGGATCTCATCCTCATCTGTGTTGTATTTCTTCTGTTTTCTTCTTTTATTGAAAAAAATTAATTAATTTTGTATAATGCAGTATCACAGCATCAGTTCAATGATTGGGGTTTCACTAATTTCATGTCTCCACTTGCTGACTTATATGATCCTGCTAGAAGTTTTCTGGTGAGTGATAGAAGTGTAATTGAGGCTGATTTTGATGTACATAAGCTTCTTGATTACTGCTCACATCACTAAAAAAAGGAAACTGGTTGTTTTGAACTGAAAACCTAGGAGCTACTTGTTACATGAATTCTGTTCTTCAGACACTGCATAACATTCCTTATCTTAGAAAGATAGCCAAATTTTAATGTTCAAGCCTTTGTTTCTATGAAGGGAAGCACCTTATATGAATTATTGTTACAGACTATGTACCATATGCGTGTATGACTGAGAGTGACATGACATACCATCAGGGAGCATTCCTTTGGCATTGTGGAGTTTTATTCTACAAGCTGCAGCATAGTGACACTTTCATCATTCCTTATCTGTAGCATGGTCTCCCTGGTTTCAATTCTATGCCATCAGCCTTGAAAATGTTGACTAAGCATGAATATGCTTCTTACTGGAACCATTAATTGCAGGATCAATTTATAAAGGTGAGCTTTAGCAAGTTTCTCACATGTAATTTCCATTTATCTTTGTCCATCACCATCTTTTAGGTAACTTGGATGTTGAAAAATTACTGTAGGGTTTTTGAAATATTCTTCATACCATTGATCTGAATACAATATTATACAAGAATTGTTTTCGTTTCAAAATAGGGAACAAACAAATGCTAATAAGTTATACACACTAAATTGAGATGTGAACGACCAATCCGGACACAGAAAAAAAACTTAGCTAAAATAGGTAAAATATAAATACATTACGTAGGGTAAGATAGCCAATTCATCCAACATATGAAATTTATTAAATATTTGTACTATTGGTTATTTTGTTGGTATTGGGTTGTGTATTTGCTTCACACTTTGAGCTTCATGCTTTGCAAATACATGTTTTGGAATTTTCTCGAGATCGGAAAATGATGAGTGCTCTTTGCAGCTGAAATCGGACGCAGGTTTTTTCCTCAAAGAGTGCCCCATTAAGTATAATTTCTAGATATATAACCATTCTGTGCAATGATGATGGTTCCATTGTGCCACTTACAACTGATATTTGAGCAGAGCTGGACTCAAGGTTCCAAAATCCAAAGGTTTGCTTTTTATTATTTATAATCTTATCTGCATATACATATTCCATAATTTGCTTTCAATAATTTACCTTCCTTTTTGCTTCTTATTCAAATTAGGCAAAAAATAAATTGAGAAAAACTGAGAAAAGTTGCATGACTCATGTGCTTGCTCTGCAAGTGCATAGTTCCCATCTTTAATATCACTATCAGTGCAAGGGTCATCAAGTGTTTGTTGCATACCTAATGCCATACCTGCTTGCTGCTAGGCTTCTAAAAATAATGATAAATGAAATTATACAAAAAAAAAAAATTCACTGTGACGGCCTAGATGCCAACCGTACAGCCTCTGGCCACTTGATGCCCTTGCCAACCATATAACTGCCCTTTTGTCAAGTGCAATTAGTTTATCCCCTTCTCTGAAAACAATCGATTTAAGCATTGATATTAGATTTAAGTAAATAATTTTAACCATTCACATATGATTTATGAGAATTAACTCTTTCAATAGATACACTATTGTATAAATAATCTTAAATATGATAGCTTTGAGATTGTCGCCATCAATAAATAATTATCGTTCATTTTTTATTTTCATTTTTGTTGTAGTGATGCAATATGATACCTTTGAGATTGTCGTGGTCAAGATCAGAAGACTTCGTGTATTGCTATTTGTTAAGGATTTTCCTAATTTCCTCTGGCTCAGGGCCATCTTACAAACACTTTGTGTCTATTCAAGTTGCATTTGGGAATTTATTTTTATGATTACTACAGAATAACTGAGTTATTTTGATTGACTCCAACTACTTATGAGGTTTTTATACTACTGAAAACTTTGCTATTTTATGATGCTTAAGCATTCTCTCACATGTTGCAGGAGAGATGTACAGCCCCTGGCCATTTCCTGCCCTTGCCAACCATACAACTGCCCTTTTCTCAAGTGCTATTTGTTTATCCCTTATTCTGAAAACAATTAATTAAAACATCAATATTAGATTTAATAAATAATTTTAACCATTACATATGGTTTATGAAAATTAACTCCTTATGTATAAATAATCTTAAACATGACCTTTCAGATTGTTGCCATCAATAAAAAAATTATCATTCATTTATAATATAAATTATTTATAATAAATTTTAAAAATATTTTTTATATGTAAATATTTATTATTTATAAATTAGAATTACATAAAATAAATATTTATATTTATATTTATATTAGAATAAACAAAATTATAATAATAAAAAGAATTTTAATATTTAAAGCTTAAAGGTATTGTTTGGTTAAGTTGTAATTTTTGTTACCAATTTTTTAACAAAATATTTAATAGTGTTAACTTACTAATAAATACAAGAAATTGTTTGACAAAATAAGTCTATTTATACCTTTTCTCTTCCATCGAAGGATTTCACAATCCGTTCCACCCCGGGAGTTTATTTCTCACTCGTTTTTCAGTTGTTTGCCTTCTTTACTCACTAGAATTCTAAGCGTTCTGTAGTGTGTCGCGCCTCTTTTGTCTGCTTCTTCTCTCTTTGACAAGAAATACTCTTAACAAAACAAAGTGAAATCTTTTAAACTTGTTATACAAAAGTTATATTTTGAAAATTTAGAGGATAAAAAATTAAAAATAAACTGAAATAGGATATTTAAATTCTAATTTAGTTTTTATTTTATTTTTTAAAAAATAAATTATTAGGAACATCATAAAAATATCTTATTTTTATTCCTCTTAATGAACATTTATTAATTTTTATAAAGTTTGAGAATTTAATTAAAAAAAATATTTGTATTCTTTTTAAATAGCAATTATTAATATAATTTCACCAAATAATCCAGATTAGAATAAAGAAAGTTATAAGAATAAAAATATTTTAATATTTAAAACTTTGAATAGATGGTTACTTAAGTTGCAATTTTTACCAAATTTTATGAACAAAACATTTAATAGTGTTAAATTACTAATAATCAAAAGAAATTCTTCAACAAAACAAGTCTTTTACGTTTTCCCTTTTGCATTTTCCTTGATCACCGTCTCCAACTCTTCTTTCTCTATTTATAATTGTTTCATGTGTGTCTTCTGCTTTCACATCATTTGTTCAGGTTTTGATACTATCAAGAGTCTCTATTTCTTCAACTTTCTCTATTTATAATTGTTTCATGTGTGTCTATGTGTGTCTTCTGCTTTCACATCATTTGTTCAGGTTTTGACACTATCAAGAGTCTCTCTATTTCTTCAATAGCAACTGTACGCATGAATGTCTCCTCTTCCGATAAATGTCATCATTCTACTTTTCCATTTGTTTCGTCTCTACAAGTTAGATTCTGCTTTGCAATTTCTTGTTATTATTGTTTCATTTTTTGTTTATTTTCTTGTTTGTTTTGGTCAATCACCAGGTTTTTTCTTTATATGTTTTGATGTTCATTTTGTGTGGTGCAGCAGCAGGTATAAATGGATGTTACAGTTCCTTGTTCCGGTGACCTTGTGCCGATAGGAGGTAGATATTATATGATGGGTTGTTAATGGTGAGTAATCGGGGAGTGTGTGGAGTGATGTAAACAAATGTCTTTGTTTTAATTGATTTTTTTTTTAATTTTACAAGTGATAATTGTGATCTGTGACTATGTTTGGGATGAGTGTTATTTTCAAATTTTTTTATTTGCTAAAGATTTAGGAAGCAATGACATAATATGATGAATAATTCTGTTATATCAATGCTGGCCATGTACTTCTTTTAGTTAGCTATATTCTTCTAGCTGTATTATATCCTATTTGTGTTCCTATTGGTATCAGTAATACCAAAAAACTAGCACATTCATAGGATTTCTTGTACACAACCAAATAAATTAATAAAGCATCATGTATCAGGTAATACATTTTTCCCCATTTTACTCAAATATATGAAGCGACCATTTTAATGCACCACACACACCAGTCATAGACCAACTAAAAAATGTTAAACGGCCTATCATAACATATATTCAAACTAATCATACTCACAATAGCTGAAATGTTAAAAAATAGTATAGTAATTACAATGTCTTGCCTTGCAAGGAGTTTTTGTGAGCACTGTGTCTGTCAATCTTCAATCTTCTTTGCGTCCTAGCTGGAGGTAAAAGTTCATCCTGAAGATGTGGAAACATCCTTCCTTGATTTCTCACCCATGTATCACTACAGCCTTTGATGGATTCTATATTTAATTCCAAGTCATCTTTCCTGCCTACTTTTTTCAAGAAAACAAAAAAACAAAATGAATAGTTTATTGATCTTTTATAATAAAAAAATTTAAATTAGTAGAGAAATAAAATAAATAATTTTTTATTAGTCAATTATTGTCCCAGACTATAAACCACAAGTGTAAATGAAAAGATCATGATTGCATATTGCAGAATTGAAAAAATGGATTCTATATTTAATTCCAAGTCATCTTTCCTGCCTACTTTTTTCAAGAAAACAAAAAAACAAAATGAATAGTTTATTGATCTTTTATAATAACAAAATTTAAATTAGTATAGAAATAAAATAAATCATTTTTTATTAGTTTATTATTGTCCCAGACTATAAACCACAAGTATAAATGAAAAGATCATGATTGCATATTGCAGAATTGAAAAAATTACTTAATACAGCATTATCACATTTAATATTTAAGATTCTCATAAGCCTCTAACCAAATACTATGCAAGTGTTATCTTGTGCTCTATTCTAAATACTATGTAAGTGTTATCTTATGCTCTATTCAAAAAAGAATTTAAGTTAATAATTAAAAAAAACAAAAAACAAAAAATACTAGTGGCGCTATAGGCCATAGCGCCACTTTTAAAAATAACAAAAATACATAAAAAGGAATAAAAAATATATAAAATTAAGAAATTACAAAAAATATACATTTATAAATATAATGTTATTGAAATGAATAATAAAAAATAAAATTTGTAAAAAAGAATTTAAGTTAATAATTAAAAAAAA